TCTATCTACAGTGTCTGTCTGGCTACTATATCAATCATCCATCTATCTACCAATCTATCTACCAATCTATCTACCAATCTATCTACCTATCTATCTATCTATCTATCTATCTATCTATCTATCTATCTATCTATCTATCTATCTATCTATCTATCTCAATCATCCATCCATCCATCCATCCATCCATCCATCTATAGTGTCTGTCTGTCTGTGTATTCATCCTTGTTCATCTGCCTGTATCTTTGCCCATCCATCCATCCAACTTACACACAGCCCACCTCACTGTGGGAGCGACTATGGTTTCATATTTGGTTCCCTCCTGCGCTGTTTCCACAAAATCATCCCGTTGATGGGCCGATGGAGCCACAGAGTCATGAGCCCATTTAAATTACTTCCCCCCTCCCCTCCCACCCACACCCCAAAAAATCCCATTGGGGTTGGAAAGAAAAGAACCAAAGTTAACCATCCTGACCCAGATAACCTCAACGAATGACGCAATTGAAAAGCAAACCTTCATCACTGGAATAACTGTTTATTTTAAATGCAGCTTCCGGCAGTTTTTTCCGCAATTCTGATATCTGCACGATATACTTGAATTCTAGCTTGGCTGGCCTACGAAAGGAGAAAAGGGAAAAAGAGGAAACTCAATTTTTTCCAAAGCTGTCTCTTGGCCACCCCAAAGAGATAGAGAAACACCAGAACTGGAGTCTAGAACAATTCCGTATTTGTGGGTGCTGAGCTTGGTTGCTTCCTTACCGACGTTTCATGATCCAACTAGGTAACATCATCAGTATTAGGAGAAAGTGGGGTTTGTTCTGTTTATATATAAGTTGGCTTGCAGACCCCACTCCCTTCTAACACTAATGATGGTACTTAGTTAGTGAAACGTCTACAAGAAAACAACCCAGCTCAGGAAGCACCCAGGATCTCACAGATCAACCCTGAGCTGCAAAGGCTTTTCTTCTATCTGTTCTTCACTTCTCAACTTTCGGGATTCTTGATGGAAAGTTCCAAACATAAAATATTTACCGGTTCATAAAAACCACCGCTTTAACGCCGAGGGGAGGAGGAAATGGATCTATTTCCCTTCTCTATTCGGCACAAATTTGAAGCTATCTAGAGTAGAATGGATTGGAATGGGAATAGGAATAGAACACAACAGAATAGAGGAACAAGAATAGGCATAGAATAGAATAAAATATAGGAATAAGAACAGAATAGAATAGGAATAAAATTGAATATAGGAATAAGAATAGAATAAAATAAAATAAAATATAGGAATAGGAATTAGAATAGAATAGGAATAGAACAGAACAGAACAGAATAGAATAAAATATAGGAATAAGAATACAATAAAATAAAATACAGGAATAACAATAGAATATAGGAATAAGAATAGAATAGAATAGAATAGAGTAATAAGAATAAAGTAGAATACAGAAATAAGAATAGAATAGAATAGAATAGAATAGAATAGAATAGAATAGAATAG